ACGACTGTTGCTAATTGGCTGTGCCAAAGGGATCATGTTTTTCCTATGGGGATTTCTGAAATATTTCGTCTAACACATTCTCTTCAGGTTAAATTTATCAGCTTTGTTTAATGCAGAAAAGAGAATATTCCAAATTTCTGATTTTACTTTTTCACTGCCATTCCCTCGTTACATCGTCTAACAAATTAATTCGCGAATATCATTTCTTAATTGAATAGATACTTGGCGATACGGTCGACCGGATTGTAGTTCAATATGAACTATAAACGTATGCCAAAAACTGCCATGACAGAAGTCTCGATTAAGTCGAATCTGGATCAGTGAACAATTGAAAATACAGTACTAGTTAAAAAATACTTCAATAAATTGAACCAAGCAAGAGAAACTAAGTTTTACGTGATCATTTTTGTTGGCTATTAATCTTTAATAGAAAGATCAATTTTTCATAAGTTTGCAGAGTTTTTATTTCCACACCAATCAAATATTTAACATTCTTTGTGATTGATCGATTGAAACCAATACTGTTAAAGTCTTCTATAACCTTAGTTACGAAAGATAAAATAAAAAATCTTCCTCAGTTACGCAGTAAATGTTTTTCGCTTGTGGTTCTATTGTCAAGGAGGGTTGTTTTTCTGCCACGAAAACGAAAACGATTTTGGACAGAATTCCTCATCTACACTCAGAATACTTTTGTTAATTAATGGAGGGATTATATGTGATATCTGAACAGCCCTCAGGTGACACCGAGCATTGGCTCAATGGATTTCTACAAATTCAAAGCGAGGAAGCACGAAAGCGACTTATGGTAGAGCGGTCTCTTTGGGAAAATACAACTGACGACGAAAATTCGCGTGATGAAAGTGATCTGTCTGGGATTTTTAACTTTAATGACATGGAATCCAACCGACAAATTGACGAAGAAGTTTTGTCCTTCAAAGATTTAGATTTGTGTGTTCCGACCGAACAGGAACGCGCAACAACTAACGAAAGCCTATTGATTCACGGAGATGAACGACGATTAAGTCACGACGCCAGCCGAAGCCAAGACGATCATGACACGACTCTCCGATCTCGTGAGGATTTGAGTTCCAGTCTACTGGCCAATGGGGGAAAAACCACGACATCCGATGAAATATCGATTAACGGCGAAGAGCAACGAGCTGGACACGACGATAGTGAAAAGCGTTTGGCAGAACAAGTTACGAACGAGAGTGGTGAAGCTGTTTTGGATTTTGAAACCGAGTTGGTGGAGGTAGCGAGTATGGGAATCATTCATTCCAAACAACAGCTCTTGAAGGCGATAAACGAGTTCAACAAGAACGTGGTAGAGAAGGAACGTGTGCATTTTATGCAGGCAATGATGCAAATAGAAGAAACAGTTAATGAGGTCTTAGAGGAAGTGGAGCGGCTCGATAACAGCTTCAAGTTACAAAGAATGAGTCCTGATAGTTACTATGAGATGAAGTCACGCAATGAACTAGACATACTTGTTGTGCTTGAGAACGTCTCTCCGAAAGAATTTTCCATTGAGGATATGAAAACACCAACCGGATATGCACGAATACGTGTGACGTCATCTGCCGTGACGTCATCATCAAATGTGGCGTCATCTTCAAGCATGACGTCAGCATTAAACATGGCGCCATCAGAGGAGGAGATGCTATGCTGGTGTACAGAGACGCAGTCGGGGGAAATCCTCTTTTCACCGAAAAAGTTGTGTAAGAAATTCGCTGCCTTAGTGTCCAGAGCGGCTGGTAGAATTTTAAAACACGGTTCCAGTACACAGCGGAAGCGAGTGTCGTTTTCTGATAGAGAGACCACGGTTCCCTTCATAGTTAATCTTATTCCTACTGTAGCATGTCCGCAGACCTGGCCTCTGTGCGCTTACTGGCTCAGAAACTACAGCAAAAAGTGGCCCGCGCCGCGTGTCAAAGATGACGTCATCCACGGAGGAATGCACCTTGTCGCCTTGGCAACGAGCCAGGAGACTGACCCCTTGTGGCGAATAAGCTTCTGCTCTGCTCGACGACGACTTCTTCAATCTGATTGTGAAGGGAAAAAGAAATGTTTGCGTCTGTTGAAAGTCCTTCTTGACAAAGACTTGTCACGTCCTAAAGGCATCATACCACTGTACCTAGAAAACATAGTACTGTGGGCAAGTAGAAAACACTGGCAGCAAGAGGAATGGGCCGAATGCATGTTAGCGGACAGATTTCTGGAGATGTTAGCGGCGTTGCTCAAATGTTTGGAGAACAACGACTGCTATCATTTTTTTGTACCTACCATGAACCTTTTTAATGATTTGAAATCCGACGTTGCCGAAGTCCTGGCTGCGAAAGTGAAAGATATCTTGCATAATCCTTTCAAATACCTGAAAACTTGAGAAAGTCACCAGGTAATTTTGAAAATACCTCAATTATAGTTGAAATACTATTGTGGTAACATTTATGTGCCAGCGTTATTTTCATTCATTCCTTCCTCTTGAGGTGTATTAAGAGAATGAACTGTTAACTTGAAGCAATTTTATAACGAACATCGTAAAACCAAAACCTAAGTACTGTATAGTAATCATATTCATGTCAGCCAATCACAGCAAAGTAAATTAAGCAGACCAATCGGGGCGCAAAGCAAACTTGATATAACCAGTGGCAAGCGCGGAAAAATACGTCCAATCTATTCACTACTGGATGTATGTTTGCACCTGATTGGTGGAACACACGTTTGCTTTGATTGGCTAGTCAGAACACGCTGCACGTCTTGGCCAGTTACAGTGCACGGGAAATCAGAGCGAACCCGTACTTAACATTTTCGAAAATTGCTTTTTGCACGCTTGTTTGAAACGAGAACTATTCAGAAAAATTGCCGAAAGGGGAAAGTTCTCTCGTGTTCTAGCAAAGTGAATGGTTTTTTGTGCACTTTTGATAAACAACATTAACCGAAACTGGTCACAAGAGAGGCTTCAAATGACTGACAACACGCGAATTAATTGTGAATCAAGTTTTAATACAGTTCTAAAAATAACCATTCCCTTGAGCACAAGTTGCAATTACAAATTATATTTACTACATCAAAATACACATTTTTCCAAAATATAGTTACATGTAATTAGTTTACTAAAAACGCATCGCAGCAATTACAAAACAAGCCTGTTTACACCTGATGCCAATGCTCGAATGCGTTTTGGAAAATAAAATTGCCGTGTAAACCGAACTATAGACGAGGATTTAGATCAATATTTACGAGTTCCTCGCTCGCATCAGGTTTAAGCTCGTTTTCCAGCCGCTTTGGGTGACTGGTTGTCATATATTCTTCTTACAAAACCGCATCACGGCTGAAAATCGAGCCCACATCAAGCCATGTGATCACATGTTTTCTGTTTCACTAACAAATTTTTGGGCGCGATATGAGTGACATGACGTCACAACCGTGTTGAGTTTGATATCTAATCAGCAAAAGCGTTGTATAACCATAATTAAAACAGTAGCTAGTTTCCATAATTTATCATATAAAGTATTCAAAACGCGCGGGAAAAAA